TCAGTGGTGTAGAGGTCACAAAGGCTGGTCCCCACAGCAGTGGCAGCAGGTAATATGGTCCGATGAATCATCCTTCACCTTATTTCAGACCACCGGACGCGTTTATGTCTGGAGATCACCCAAAGAAGCGTTTGATCCTGAATGCCTCTTACCAACTGTGAAACATGGAGGTGGCTCCATTATGGTTTGGGGTGCGATATCTTGGCGTGGTCTTGGGCCACTAGTACGTCTGCATGGGAGAATCAAATCTAATGACTATCTAAGCGTTCTAGCGGATCATGTTCATCCTTTTGTACAGACTGTATTCCCTGGAGAGCGACCGATTTTTCAAGACGACAACGCCCCTATCCACACCGCTAGGTGCGTTCAAACATGGTTCGAAGAGCATGACAATGAAGTTGAGCATCTCGCCTGGCCCCCTCAGTCTCCGGACTTAAATATTATTGAACATTTGTGGCAATATTTGGAGTCTAAACTTCGTTCCTGATTCCCACCTCCATCAAATCTTTCGGAATTAGAGGCCGCTTTGCAAGAGGAATGGCTTAATATTCCTTTAAACGTTGTCCATGACCTTTATGCATCGATCCCACGTCGTATTAAATCTGTGATCCCTATTAATAAAGATTTTCTGATATTTCACAGGTGTTCGTATTATTTTGTCACCCATCTGTATATTAACATCTGGGCAATGGGCTGTTGGCGACGGTTTGGGAAACATCACTGAGGATGATCCGGAGATAACATACGTCACAGTCCGTTTTACAGGGAGGACACATTCACATCTCATCCATCCGTAGATAGTAATTTTGACCTGAACCAGAGCACGATCAATTTCTTATCCAATACATCGAGAGAAATTCATTTGTTATAGGAATTCGGAGGTTTTTGTGACCCCGACTGATTGAGTGGACATCAGTCACCACTTGTACTCAGGGAGTCATCGCCTTGAGGGGATCGAACTCACGACCTGTTGGACATGGGCTGAACGCCCTATCAGTCATGCTTTCCGGCAAAGTGAAATTTTCAAACTACAATTTTCCTTTCCCGTGGTGGTTCAAAAGATATAGCGTTTGCCTTCAAATATGGTGAAATGGGTTCGAATCCGAGCGATGACTGGTCGATTCGAACTCCGCACCCTGATTTCACTGACCACAGTGGTGACGTAAAAATATCCTCAGTGGTAGACGGATCAGGGGTTAGAGTTCCCTTGCAATCAGGATAACCGTAGGAAATTTTCGCGGTCTTCTATTCCACATAACGCAAATGCGAGTTAGTTCCATCAAAAAGTTCTTCACGAAGGCAAATTTCGCCCAATACTTGATCCAGGAGTTCCCTTGTCCTCTGGATTGGGTTCAAAATTACAAGGCTACGGAGTTGAGCATAGATAGTCGTAATCCAAAAAATTGGGTCTGCTGTTCAACGACAGTTATTAAATAAATTTTTTGTTCATCATAACAAGACCAGACTCCAATTACTACCATATATTTGGGACATAAAATTCTTTATTCATTTCAAACTTCATTTCAAAAGCACATTATTCAATGATTAATTTTCCAAAATAAATTTCAATATAGAATTTTTGTTTTCAGAGATTCAGTGCAAAGTTTGAACAATATTTTCAGAAAAAATATACTTAACTGGTGACAAAATGCCTTATATTTAAAAATATTAATATTATGAAACAAATTTCACAAGGACCATGAACTATTTAACTTAAGTCTCTTTCTATAAGAGATTTCCTCAAGCAATTTTGCCACTTAGCAAGGCTTTGAATGCTTTGTTGACTTTTATTCAAGATCGTAAAAAGACAGTCACAATAAACTGGGTAACTTTAAGCTGCCAGAAATTTTTTTGGTTATTTTAACTCCATGTAAATATTTTAATTTATAAACGTCATTGAACCTCCAACCCAAATTTTGGGTTTGCGACTACCAGTGTTCAAGTCCGTAGCTTTGTAATTTTGAACACAACCTAGAAGTCAAGGTAGCTCCTGGAAGTATTAGGAGAAATTTTGATGGAACTAACCCTCATTTGTTGCATTACATGGGGAGGAAAACCACGAAAACCTCAAACGGTGAGTCTGACGGCAAAGAGACTCTAACCTAAAATCCGTCTACCACTGAGGATATTTTACGTCAGCACTGTGGTCTGCTCGTGCCGGATACGGAATTCGTTTCAACCAGCCATTGCTGGAATTCGAGCCCTGGTCACTTATTTGAGAGGCGAGCACTCTTTCCTTTAAGCCTCCACGACTACTAAGCAATAATTGTGGAAAAGGCCATGCCTAGTATGGCAAAGTACGATAATCATTACTTATTTCTTAATCAAATTTTCGATAAGATTCACAGTAAATGTGTGATTTAAAATTGAAAATGTGTGTGATTAAAATTGAAAATAAAGCATTCCGTGAAAGATATGTTACAAGATTCAAAACGATTATGAATGTCAAAAGCGATTATGCATGTTATTGCTTTATAAAAGCTTTGTTCGACTGTCATTAAGTCATTAAAAAAGTAATTAAATTATATACATTTGTTTTAATTAAAAAATTATTGAAAACAGAATTATTATATATAATTTTTAAAAAGCAATCGAAAAAATTAACAAAATAATAATGTACAAAATGACATTTTTTAAAATTATCCATTAAGTATAATTGTAAAACAAATGTATTTTGTCATTTTTAGCTTTTTCCATTTTATTTATTTAATTAGCTTTTTCCATTTTCCATGTGACATATTCACGTTTCAGCAGGGTCACGGTATGATGAAAACGTAGCACGTTTACGTCTCTACAGAATCACCGTGTGAGTAAGTTGTGACATATTCATGTCTCAACTGTGTCCCCATGTGACGAAGATGTGACATATTCACGCCTCAACACTGTCACCATGAGACTTACTTGAGACGTGAATATGTCACATTCACGTCATACGGTGAAGTCACTGCGACAACTGAATGCCTCATTGTGGTCTGTTGTTGACGTCTGGGTGACGTTAAATGTCACGTCACTAAAGGAGGACACAGTAACCTTTTTAGACCCACGTATCGTCATCGCAAAAGTCACATATGGCTTCACAAATATGTTTCCATGGCTGTTGCATTTTTGCTGCAATCTGGTAGCGGTGTTATCTGGGTAGTCATGATTCTGCGGCCTATTGACCAGCCTGTATTGTTTTTTTTCCTGCAAGTTTAACAGTTTATGAACCTCGAGTTAATTCTCGAATGCTAAATTTTTATCCATTGTTTTTTCCTATACTTTTTATTAATCCCCAACGTAATTTCAAATTTTATGATTTTTCCGCAGCGAAGAAAACTGTAACATTAAGTTGAACACTCAAAACAACAGAGGTGGCTCTTACGCTTTTTCATTATAGATAAAAGTATATATTTAATTATTTTGCAAAAAATTTTTTATTTATCATGAATGATCCATTTTATCATTATAACAATTAATATTATTTATGGGTCAGTTCTTGAGACTAGATATGCAAATCTATGATTTGCCTCTTCTCTGCTATAAATTGATTTTATTCTTTTTCAGGAACATATAGGAAAACTTGGATGTCGATTTTCCAATAATCGAAAAGATTCTTATGCATAACTAACAGCTAATTTTTATGATTATAAATAATAACCTATAGCTTGAATGTTAAACGTTTAGTTTCTGAAAATTAGGAGGAAAAACCCAATGTATATAAACTCTTTAAAAAAAATTTATAAGACGGTTGAAGACTTCTCTTCTCAAACGAGCAATCTGTCCCACTATGAACTGATCGTTAGACACGGTTCTCAGTAGATCAAGTATCACTTTCTGAACGGGTTAAATACCACTTTAATTCACTCGCGAAGGGACCGAAGTTGCACGGTATTTGTCTTCGCTAAATTAGGTTGTTGTTGCTTATCCTCATAGATCTGACATTAGTCAGATCAAATCCAGAAAGTTGTTGACACCCAGAAAGTCGATGACAAGAAGTGGATCGGAAGTTAAGTCCGCCCTGCTGGATAGTCCGACACAATCAAGTATATGTTTCGGCGAGGCTGGATGGACGCAGCATTTTTTACAAGTCGGGTAAATTTTTGTGCCACGTTTGAATCTTAGACATTTTAGGTGACCAGTTGAGAATCTGGCCAAGGGAGCTTCGATCGCAATTGATTCCCAGAAGGGTGCCAGGAGATGTTGCGATGTACCATTGGTGCTTAGGTGTAGTTTGCCAGATTGATTTTGTCTATATTTTTCATTGGAGTAAAGTAATAATAATAAGTGATGATCCGGTGGATATATCTTCTTCACGGTCATCTTTGGAGTTTTCGTTAAATTGTTCTACCGTAAAGTGCTCGGTTTCGCGCGTGGGTCGTTGGACAAAAGATTATCGAAAGGAGAAGAAGTTCAGTTCTTCGAAAACGTAACTAACGCGAGGAATTGCTCGGTGCGATACGCTATTCCAGAAAAAAAGGGAAAAAAAACTAACAGGGTGAGCAACATACTCAGATTTAGCAGAGCGTCATTTGAACTAAGATCCAGTGCATAAGAAACAAAGTGACAGGAGGTACGTCACCTGTGACCCGGTTATTGGGCAACTCCATTTGCATAGTTGGATACGCAGCCTCCCGCCATTTTATTCTTTCCTTGTCGAAATGTGTTTGCAGATTTAATTTACAGGGATTATATAAATGTATTCTTAAAGAAATATCTTAATTAATAGTATAGTATCGTTTGTAAATAGTATAAAAATAAAGAACAAACCAATCATGAGTAAAAAAGAGAAAATATTTCTCCTTCACCTCAACATTTCCCCAACCCCAGTATTGGTGAGGAGGGGGGGAGGTCGAAGACCGAAATCATAATTGGGTGGTCATAATAATTTGGCCACTAGGTGTATAAACCATGGTTAAAAGCGTCAAAAACTGTAAATTGAACTTACCAACCCTGCTTGAAAGACACAATGTTTGTTTATTCATTCATTTGTTATAATTTTAGTCTTCAATAAACCAACAGTATTAAAAAGATCTTTTAATGTTTTTATTTTTTCGAGAATGAAATATTTACACTGAGAGGAAATGCTGAGTAAAAAGTTGACTAGTTGTTTCACAAGGCATGTCTTTCAATCACTTGTTGTCTTCAGGCTTGAGGCAGCTGTAGGGGGGAGGGGGATCAAAGACAGCATGGTAGGGGGGAGGGAGTTCTTCAGATGCCGTCGTCGTCGCTTCAGGTTCTGTTCTGGTGGAGGATGTTCTGAAAGGCATGGTAAGGAGTGGAGCTGCCACTGCCGGAAGGGTCGACGACGACTGCCTGGAGTAAATGCGCCTTATCCTCTCTCTGTCTGCCCTCACAAAGAAGGCGACCAGCACGAAGAACATGAGGGGCAGGAAGACAGAGAGAATGGCAAAAACTGCCAACCTAGGCTTGCACCTTGATCGGATGGTGAAGGAAGATCGACCAGCATTCGGTTCTTCAGGTATCCAAACCAGTGCGCCGTCATCAGATGCAAAAGAAAGACCTGGAAACGAAATTATCCATTATATTTTACTTGAATTGACTCTTTAAACAGCGACAGTTATAGAAATACAAATTAACGATAAAATAATGATATAGAGGGGCGACTATTTCATATAACAAGAAGAGAAGTTAAATGAAAGTGAGACTAAATGACTACTTTATTTAAAAGTAATGGAGACTACTTTATATAAAAGTAGTCCCCATGAGCATTTGTCCCATTGACTGACGAGTCCTCATGAAACAGTCTTTGGGTTGTTACTTGAGATTGTCCTTAACTTCACGTCATTGCGCGACACGAATCTGGTTCCCGTAAGTTGTTTCGTTTTCAAGTGCCCGAAAATAAGGAAGTCACCACAAGGCTACAGGTATGGTGGATGTTGCAGCATTACCCCTTTGAACCTTGTCAGCGTTTCCTTAATTCATCAGTGACGCATGAGTAGTAAGAAATTTTTACTAAACCTACGTGCCACTTGCATGAATGAGACACGCCTTTGTGGCGCACTCATGCGTCAAGGATTATGGACCGAACCATTATAGCGTGGGGTTTGTTGCCTCACTTTTATTTACTCCACCCTCTTGTCATTCATCAGTTATACCGCAGGAGAAATTCCATAGTAACCATTTAAAATTTTAATTTTAGCCGATCTACAGAAGGAAAAAAAAGCAAATTATCACGGGATTGCTGTTATAAGTATACTTGGTGGGGGTTCAGGTAAATAGCTCATGGAGAAGAAGAAATAATTTAGAGCTTCAAACTAGATTTTTAATGAATCTGATACTGTAAAATTCATGAAAATCCAGTAAATTAAATGGCCTGAACATCGGGAAAGAATGTATGAAGATCGATGCTGTAAGATACTCTTTTTGGCAAATCCCATGGGAAAAAGATCTCGTAGTATACTCCCTCTAATATGGATGGACTGGGTTGAGAATGACAATCTTAACATTCTTAAGGATAAGAATTTGAGAGGAATCACCAAAGGTAGAGATGCCATGAAGGATTTTTACCTCTAGCGTTTTCCGGAAAGTAATTTTATATGTTACGTTAAAAATGGTTTTCTAGAAAAGGCAAGAATCAATGAATTTCTACAACAGGATTACATACCAATGGTGCAAGACGTTGAGAGGCTGCACATGTCGAAGGAGTGTCCGGACTTCATGATTGTGTAGCGGGATCTGTCGATGAGCAATTGAAGACCGAAGTGATTGGTCTTCTCTTTATTGGTATTGAGGGCCACAATCACGTAGAACCCATCGGCGGTGATGTTTACTTTCACTGGTCTCTGAGATACCACATCACACATTGTTTCTTCACCGCTCACTGCCACAGCATAATCACTGCAAAGAAAACAGGTCGTAGTTTAAGTAAATAGAATCTGGAGACAAAAAAAAAGTTTTTTTAAAAAAAAGAAATGCTTAGTGCAGCAAGACGGAAAGTTGATTTGGCAGAAAAAGTCATGAAGGTGCTTTAGAGTTGAAGGGAGATCGTGGAACACTAAATCAAACAGTCTGTAATATGAATTTATTTAATAATGCTCCTTAACTTACCTGACCAATGAAGAATCTTTTTGCCTCTTCATGTTTCTACATGCTGAGAAATATTCATTCTTTGAACAGTCTAGATTCGATATTTGAATCTCTTCTGAGCTTGCTTCTTCCATCGAACTATCATCGGAATTCTGCTGTTCTGAGAGCTTTTGCAAATATTCTTGAACACCGTGTTCACCCTGATTAAATAAATTAAAATGAGTATTTTTTGAAAAAATATATATCAATATATTAAAATAATTAACCATATATTTAAACTTTATGAAAATTAATCTTTTTTATTTTATAAAGATAAATAAAAGGAGTAAAAAAAAGTAAAATAATTTTCCATGAGGTGAACGTTAGGCTTTTGCTATAAGCAAAAGTATTATTGTTGGAGATGTTAGTTAGATTGCTTTCTGTGATAAGTAAAATAATTTTCTTTGATGTAAACGTTAGCTCTTAGCTATATGCAAATGCATTATTGTTGGAAATGTCAGTTAGATTACTTTCTGAGATAAGTAAAATAATTTTCTAGTATGTGAACGTTAACTCTTTGCTATACGCAAATGCATTATTGTAGGAGATGTCAGTTAGATTACATTCAGAAATTGTTTTGAATACAGTTAGAATATATATTTGCCGATTTAAAGATAACTTATGATTGATGGAAATAGGTCTTTCATTTCTAGGGTCTTTCATTTAGCTATACGCAATTGATTCATTTATTTTTCCAAATTATTTATTTTACTTATTTATTTTAATTTAATTTTGTTTATTTTTCAAGTGCATTTGGTGACGTCAAAAACTCTTTTTTAACCAAACATGAAAATGCCAAAAATGAGAACGCAGACACGAAATATTTAAACAAGTCTTAAAGATTTACATGTGTCACCGATTGAACATTTGCGGACAAAAAATTAAGGCAAAGGTATAAAATGTATAAATTTTCATTCTAATTTGTCAAAATTCAATAAATTGTTACAAATAATCTTCGCTTACTCAGCTCCTCAGTAATAAAGCTGCTATAAAACGGACCAAAAACAAAATAAGATTTTCAAACTCATCTTATTTTGTTTATTAAAAATTTCTAGATATAAAAGGTCCATAGTTAAAGTTTGCATTAGTGAGCAATATCCGAATTTCATGAAATTTCATTTCAGTAACGTTAGCAAAATTTCATGAAATTAGGCAAAGACATAAAATAAAACCTCTAGATAAGTTTGCATTATTTGCTTTACTAATATGGAGACTCTGCTACTATCACTATCACTTCTTTACAGCTTGGCCTTCCACATCTCCAGACTTAAATTCTTGCACATCAAAAACAGATTGATCATGACCACATCACACGCGTCTCCGAACTTAATTATAGCACAACACACCATGAATGTATTATTCCCATTATGCTCTACTTTGCGCATTACCTATTACACGATTGAGTATTCACGTCTCCCCCTCTCCGTTACTATGGTTTCGGCAAATCTTGCTTTTTTGCAACACCGGTACGTTTCAGTAAGACGCTGGACAATAGGCAATACTTGCGAGGGGGGGGGGCTACTGGCCGAAGCCATGGTAACGTAGAGGAGGAAGATGTGGAGAGTGGGGATAGTTATGAACTCTTACTTTAAAGACCAGTAGTCTTGCTCCTTCTTGTGATGCACAAGAGTAGATTTCAAGAACTGAAGATGTGAGGAGAAAATATTTGAGTTTGAAGGAGTTTCGACTTCTGCCTCCTCCCAACTTCAAAGAGACGCTCACTTTCTGTTTATTAAGATGGTTGGCGTTGACATGGGGAGACTGGCTTACCTGAAAATAAACTTAGATATTTATCTCACTGCTCTTAAATAATAACGAAAAAAATTAATAAGAAATTATTCAAATTAAAAGGAAAATGTATGTATTTTTTAAAACAAAATGTTCACGAAATTAACATTATTTACGTCGAAAATTATCTCTTAAGCGCAACAAAATTGCTAATTTATGAGTTAAGTGAATCAAGATAATAAAACTAATAAAAATGTCCGTATTTAAAAGTTCATCTTCATATTTTGTAACAGAACTCAACAGAATTGAACAGAATTTTGTGGCAATATGGAAATAACTACATAGAAAGCTAATATAAAAAATAAAATACAAATTAAAAAACATTGTTAAGACGTTGACAAACGTTAAACAAAATTATGGCAGATGTACGTACACATTTCCGTTATTTATGTAAGACTAAATGCTGACTTAAATAGTAGCAATAAATCCAAGAGCGTTCGTAGAGTTTGCTTGAGTTGAGTCTGAGCAATTTCGATATTGATGTAAGCCTTTCCCGGAAATTGACACACAATTTGTTTTCAGCCGTTTGTCATAGACGGTGTATTCCACAAACAGCTAACATATGAAGCCACAATTACGTCGAATTAAAATCGAACAATTATGTCCTCATGCAACAAGACTTTACATTTAGTTTAATTGCTCTGATACGAATTGATCCATTAACAATGGCCCGACTTGAGCAGTCTCATATATTGGTGTGAAACTTGTTGATATTTAATTTTTACCTTTGTTTTAAAATGTGATACGCAAGCTACATCTTCGAATATGTGATGTGCAAATATTACAGCTCTTCTTGGGGGAGTTTTCTTAAATTAGAGTTATAATACAAGATGTCTCAGGTTTTCAAAGTGAGTTATTATTTTTGCATGAAGTGCATGCAACTTGAACATTTATTTTAGTGACTAGTTTTTCAATACAGTTCTTTATTATTTGATGTGTAATTACTCGCATTAAACTATTTTTGTGCAATAGTGTCATTAAACAAATTGAACTGTGACAACATCTTAAGTGCTACTTTTTAATTCACCAGCTTAGCTGAAATTAAACCTCATATTTTTACCACCCTACTGCATATCACTACACAGATAAAACTCAATGATCATCTATCCGCATGAATACGCCTTTACTTCATTTGCATGTCGCCACCTCATAGAAACGCCACAAAATGCAAGCTAAAGATGAATGGGGAAGGGGCCGCCAGCAGCCCCAGGTGCCCAGATGCTTTATACAGTTCAGTTCATCCCATAAGAATGAGCAATCTGCGGCTTCTAACTTTAACTTATCAGTATAAAAGATATGTAGATTAGACACTTGTTTAGTACCTGGTAAGCTACAAAAGGATGATCGGAGGTGAGAGCAATCGCTTCGCACCACACAGTAGATGCTGGTGGTATCAATCTCTGGTCAGTGGCTGAGAGTTCAATTCTGTGTTCGGGCCAGGTCTTTCGCTCTGTGAAGGTAAAGAAGAGGCCGAATACGGCCACTATGAATACAGCTGATAGCACAAACCATCCCGAGATCTTGGAGGTCATCACACTGTGGGGGGAAAATTTGAACATAGCATCATCACATGACATAAGACTGAATTTCATGATAAGNCTGGTCAGTGGCTGAAAGTTCAATTCTGTGTTCGGGCCAGGTCTTTCGCTCTGTGAAAGTAAAGAACAGGCCGAATACGGCCACTATGAATACAGCTGATAGCACAAACCATCCCGAGATCTTGGAGGTCATCACACTGTGGGGGGGAAATTTGAACATAGCATGAGTGCATGACATAGGACTGAATTTCATGACAAATGAAAAGATAATATTATCAATACAACTCAATCGTTTAATCGCAACAATAAGAATAAAAATCGCAACATAATGGAATACGTTTCAATTCAATGTTAAATAGTATATACAACTGGTCGCTATCACTGTTTCTATCATAATAGTTCAACCTCTTTCTTGGGTATCTTATGGTACAGTCAGGAGAAATTGCTTATGTTGTTCACAGTCATTCAAACGTTCTTCCTTCTGCTGAAAAGTCAATTTTTTTGAAATCTCACCTGAAAGCTATATTTTTTACACTTATGTTTTCCTTACCCAAAGCAGTTAACCCAGATAGCAAAATAAGGTTTATTTTAACCCAGAAAATTTTGTTATGCGGTTTACGTGTAAACCTTCTAACTTTAAAACAAGATCTGTGACCATTTGCTCAATTCTACGCACATTACCCTCCTCCAAAACCTTGTAAAACAACCTGCGGTATAAAAACCTTAAATCGAGGTTGACTTAGGGAAGTGTTCCCCAACTCCCGGTCAGCGGATCGGTACCGGTCCGTGGATCAAATAGTACCAGGCCGCCCATTTCATTGAAACTAAATTTAAATTCCTAGTTTTTATACCCCAAATTAAAAATATCTGTGTTCCATTAAAATTTTATTTACTTAAAAAAAGGGGTCCCCGAAAGTAGTGACATAAATTTTAATGTTTGTAATGTGTCATTGTCTCCGATTACCCCCAGATGGAACCGTCTCATTGCAAGGAAACAAGCTCAGTTTTCATTGATTTAACGTTCTAGTAAGTTAAAATGTTAAATCACTTTATATTTATTTTTTGGTGTAACTGTATTTTACTTGGAAGTTGAATACAATTAAATTAAAATTTATAAATCAAAATAATCTAATATATAAACAATCAACGCCCCCCCCTCCTCAGAGGGCCGCGGTAAAAATATCAAACGTTGACAGGTACGCGGTGATAAAAAGGTTGGGGAACACTGACTTAGGGTTCTCAAGCGTGAAAAAATCTATCAAAAAGCTAGTCTCAAGGTGAAAATAATCTTAAATCTAGGTAATTATAAGGTTTCTTTTCGCTAAGTCTTGTATGTTCAGCTGAAATCCACCTTGTCTTGAAATTTTAATGGACAATGCAATTTGATCCTATCGCTAGTGTGACGTCAGCTGAAAACGTCATCATAGACCTAAGTGACCATTCTACCTAAGTGACAATGCTTTTTAAAATAGCTTTAAAAATAATTTTTAATCCTTTTGGGATTGAAACTGCAATATTTTTGGTTTATTGAAAAAAGGTTTTTAGTACAAACATTTTCGCGACAATTAAATGAAAGTTCCGAAACAAGGTTGTCGTAAGGTTAAATATTTTCAGGGAAAGTCGCTCCTTTCATTTTGCCCCAAAAGTCTTACTTACAAGTAAAAAGTATTCCCTCAACAACCATGAGAGAGAGCATTTTCACTATTTCGTGACACATGATTCTGATAATCTGCTCAGCATTATCCTCAGGCCGGTGAGATTAATTCTACACAATTCCATATGTAAATTTCGAGGAGGGGTGAGATTAATTCTCAATTCGGTTTTTACAATTGATTTAAAATTTATGATTTATTTCTGTCACATAAACAATGAAATATGCCTCTATAACTGAAACAAAGAGCACATGTCTGCTAAAGTTAAGTTTATTATTTTTTTATTTGCATGAAAAACTGAATATACGATGAGTGTATTGAAATAATTGAGCAGTAGTGAAATTTGCACTCAAGGAATTAAGTACAAACCGTGCCCAGCGTCCGATATACTGAACAACATCTGGTAATTTTTTTGTCATTTAAAAAAAAATATTTTAAGATTTATTTCTGTTTAGATTACTTTCAAAAGTTTGTTCAGAAAGACAATTAGATTTACCCTAATNTGCTCATGAAAAAAATTTAAAGGGCAGAAAAAAGTTGAGAAAAGCAGATCACAAGGATATTGAAGAAGCATTACTGAAGTGGTTCATCATTCAAAGAAGCCGCAATCTTCCAGTATCTGGACAAATGTCGATGAATTTGCTAAGCGATTTTATGAGATTACTTTTATGTGCTCGAATGGCAGGTTAGACAAGTTTAAAAAGTGGATTAACAGAAAATCAGGAAAAATTATCTCAGAGTCGGGAAATGTTTCCATATCTGATGTTGAGGACTGCTCAACAGCTAAAGATTACTAATTTTTCTTTTTTTTTCTACGCAGGACAAAGAGTAATAAAAAATAACAAATTTTTTGCTACTACATAATATTTTTCAGTCATTTATTTGAATAACGTGTAATAAAAAGGAGGAATTTGGGAGCCATTAGCTAAATTGCCCGCATAACGTATATAGTGAACTCCCGGTTATAGTGAACCAAAATTTCGGTCCCTTGAAGGTTCACTATAGCGGGGTTTGACTGTACAACTCAATCGTTTAATCGCAGCATAATGGAATTCGTTTCATTTCAATGTTAAATAGTGTAAACAACTGGTTGCTGTAACAAATATGGCTATTGTTTCGATGATAATAGTTCAAATTCTGACTTGGGTATCTTATGGTACAGTCAGGAGAAATTGCTCATGTTGTTCATAGTCATTCAAGCGTTTTTCCTCCTGCTCAAAAGTCAAATTTTTGATATCACACCTAGAGGCTATATCTTTTGCACTTACGTTTTCTTTTACCCAAAGCAGTAAAGTCGCTCCTTTCATTTTGTCCCAAAAGTCTTACCTACAAGTAAAAAGTATTCCCTCAACAGCTAGGGGTCTTACTTACAAGTAAAAAAGTATTCCCTCAACAACCAGGGGTCTTACCTACAAGTAAAAAAGTATTCCCTCAAAACCAGGGGTCTTACCTACAAGTAAAAAAGTATTCCCTCAACAACCAGGGGTCTTACCTACAAGTAATCCCTCAACAGCCAGGAGTCTTACCTACAAGTAATTCCTAGAAGTATTTCCTACAAGTATTCCCTCAAGTACAAGTATTCCTACAAGTATCCCCTTACATACAAGTATTCCCTCAACAGTATTAGAGAGAGAGAGAGAGAGAGCATCGTCACAATTTCGTGACCCAATGACACATGATTCTGATAATCTGGTCAGCATTATCCTCAGGCGGGTGAGATTAATTCTACATAATTCTATTTATAAATTTCGGGGGAGATCAATTCTCAATTCCGTTTTTACAATTGATTTAAAATTTATGATTTATTTCTGTCACATAAACAATGATTCTGTCATATAAACTATGAGCCTCTATGATTGTAACAAAGAATACATATCTGATAAAGTTAAGTTTATTATTTTTTTATTTGCATGAAAAACTGAATATACGATGAGTGTATTGAAATAATTGAGCAGTAGTGAAAATTGCACTCAAGGAATTAAGTACAAACCGTGCCCAGCGTCCGATATACTGAACAACATCTGGTAATTTTTTTGTCATTTAAAAAAAAATATTTTAAGATTTATTTCTGTTTAGATTACTTTCAAAAGTTTGTTCAGAAAGACAATTAGATTTACCCTAATTGTCTTCAATGACAAGTAAAAACTATAAGAATAGTGGTAAGAAAGTTAAGAATTTCGATACAAATAACATTTTAGACACATAATTATGTATTCACTAATTATAATAATGTTATTTATATATAGACACATATAAATATGTCATTTATTTATAGACACATAAATAAATAACATTTAAGACACATAAATATATTATTATTTAAGACTCGTGGATTTTGTCTCATAAACAACTTCACTTTTAAATTACATACTAAAATATATTCTCAATATTTAAAAGATACAAAAATTTAAAATAAATCATTTTTTATGCAATAAATAAATGCCACTAATAAAAGTTAACTAAGTTTAATTATTTAAATTTTTTAAAGAAATATTTTATCGTATTTATGAGTTTATTTTTTTAACATCATATTTCTGAGTAAAAATCTGCCACTATTTAATATTTCGATCTCGTGATTATGAACGCTGAGGAAAAAAAACGTTACGCTGATAAAACATTAAAAAAAACTGCATGCGTTGCTGAACGAAAATAGAGAGATCAACATGCATATTAATAGATAAAATGTTGGCATGATTTGAAACAGATAAAATGCTTAACACCGTAATTGGATTGTGACTAGATAAACTAGTTCTATTGAATCTGATTATTTATGATATGCCCTAACAATATTTATGGAGAACTTAATAATGTATACATATAGATAGATTTTTTTTTAAAAAAATGCCTTGAATAACTTCTACTCTATTCTTTGAATTTTAACTTTTCTTAATCTTATTTCATAATAAGAGTCATAAAATATTGCAGTAGATAATTTGTCTTACGAAATCAGACACTTTATCTGAATAAAGCAAATACGAGGATAATATCGTCGAGACTTTCCTTATTTTCTGTTCTTTTTTTTAGATTTTAAAAATAAATGTAGAAGTTTTTTTAATGCTACAAGGAAAATTTCCTATGCTTTGAAAATCCTACTTATTACAAATTCTGCTAATAGTACAGACTTTGGTTCAAAGATTTACAAACAGTATGTTGGGCACTATGACACGAAATATGAATGATAATAAAAAATCTTACTAATAATGCATACCGTGAATTATTTAACGAATGAATTATTTAATTAAACTTTTTTAAAATAGTATCTCAAAATTCAAATAAACAAGTAATACAAAAAAAAATTAAACTCAATTCCTACTCAGGTCAACAAAGAAAAATTTTATTTCAGTTA